TCCACAGCCTGTTCAGTCGCGGTCACAGTTACATCCCGCCTCCCCCCTGCCTGCTCCTTCTCCCTACACTGGTCCTACTGGAGGTCTTGCTGAGCGTCGTGAGCCTGCGTCTCGTCCTGCGTCGCCTGTTCTCGCAGCTCGCACTAGTGGTCGTGCTGCGCGTCCGTGTCCTCCTGCGGTCCCTGGCACACACCAGATGGCACTGCGTCCTTCCACTGCTCCTCTGCGTGTCCCGTTGCTGTCTCCTCCAGAGTCCTCTCTTCCTACTCTTGTTGACCCTGAGTCTGACTCTCTTCGTGCTGCCTGTCCTACTGTCACGCGTCTCCTAGCTACTGTTGTCACTGACCCTTCTTTTGAGTCCACTGCTGCGTCTGTCTTAGTTGCTGAGCTTGTCGACTTTGCTGCTCGATGTCGTCTAGACTACGCTGCTAGTCTTGTTGCTGAGTCTGAGTCTGTCTGTCCTCCGTCCGTCGGGGGTGAGTGTGCTCTTAGCACGGACGTCCTTGAGGACAGGCAAGAGGAGTTTCAATGTATTGCTGCTGCTTTGCCTCATCTCGTGTCCACGCTGATTGCCCCTGAGGGAGACCCGGATGCACCAGACATCCCGACTCCTCGATCGTACGCTGAGGCGATCGAGGGTCCCTACTCCTCACAGTGGCAGTCAGCCATGGACGCAGAGATGGCTTCCTGGAAGTCCACAGGCACCTATGGCGACGAGGTTCCCCCACCTGGGGCGAACATCGTCACTGGCATGTGGATTTTCAGGGTGAAGCGGCCGCCGGGTTCTCCGCCTGTCTTCAAGGCGCGTTACGTGGCTCGAGGCTTCAGTCAGCGGTAGGGAGTTGACTACTTTCAGACCTTCTCTCCCACCTCGAAGATGACCACTCTTCGGGTGCTGCTGCACATAGCCGCTCAGCGCGACTACGAGCTCCACTCTCTTGGTTTCAGCAGAGCTTTCCTGCAGGGCAGCCTGCACGAGGAGATCTGGTTGCGCCGCCCACCTGGCTTCACTGGGTTGTTTCCTCCTGGTACCCAGTGGAGCCTCCGACGGCCAGTCTATGGTCTCCGCCAGGCGCCCCGTGAGTGGCACGACACACTGAGGACTACACTTGCAGCTCTTGGGTTTGCTCCTTCTACTGCTGACCCGTCGCTGTTTCAGCGCAACGACACCTCTTTGCCGCTGTTCTACATCCTCGTGTACGTCGACGACTTGGTCTTCGCCACTGCTGACACTGCTGGACTCGCCTACGTGAAGTCCGAGCTGCATAAGAGACACACGTGCACATACCTGGGTGAACTGCGCAGCTACCTTGGCTTGCAGATCACCCGGGACAGAGCACAGCGCACCATTACCCTGACTCAGTCACACATGGTGCAGCAGGTCCTTCAGCGCTTCGACTTCACGTACTCCTCGCCTCAGGCCACTCCTCTGTCTACTCGCCACTCGCTCTCAGCTCTGCCTTCGGATGAGTCCGTAGAGCCGAGTGGCCCGTACCCAGAGCTTGTTGGCTGCCTCATGTACCTGATGACCTGCACACGACCTGACCTAGCATACCCTCTTAGCATCTTGGCACGCTATGTGGCTCCTGGGAGACACCAACAAGAGCACATGGCTGCAGCGAAAAGGGTGTTGCGCTACTTGTGCAGTGCATCGGGCATGGGGCTAGTGCTTGGAGGGCGACGTCCAGTGGTCCTCACAGGTCACGCAGACGCTTCTTGGGCTGACGACCAGGCTACGCAGCGGTCGTCACAGGGTTACACCTTCAGTCTTTGTTCCGGCTCTGTCTCGTGGCGGTTTACCCGCTCGTCTTCTGTTCTCGGCTCTAGCTGTGAGGCCGAGATCTAAGCAGGGGCCATGGCTGCACAGGAGCTACGCTGGCTCACCTTCCTACTGACTGACCTTAGAGAGCAGCCTCGTTCTCCTCCAGTTCTGTACGTAGACAACAAGGCCATGCTGGCCCTGTGTCGGGAGCACAGACTGGAGCACAGAACGAAGCACATTGCTCTTCGCTACTTCCTTGCTCGTGAGCTGCAGCAGCGGGGTCAGCTGCGCCTTACTTACGTGGCCTCTGAGGCCAACACTGCTGATATCTTTACCAAGGCATTTGCGCCTTGTGATCATCAGCGCTTGTGTACTTTGCTAGGTCTTGTGCCTACTTGGCCTCACTTGCTCACCTCTTGACTTTGCTTGTACTGTGATCTATATATACCTGCACTTGCATGCATACTCTTGCTAGGTTGTGATCACTACCTTGCTTGTTCTTCTTGATGTATAACTCTACTTGTGAACTGGCCTTGTGGCCTTGTGCTTGTGCTCAGATTGTGTGGTGACGTTGTGATCCACCCTGGGCTTGCCTTGCTTCTCTTGATTGGTCTTGTGACCCCTTGTTCTCCCCCACTTTGCCTATGGGGGTGTGTCGAACTATATATGCTATAGTCTGTTTAGGCTGTAGTGGGGTAGTCAATATGGGGTACAACTCTTTAGGGTTTCCTACTTGTACTCCTCATGCTGCTCAATGCAATCATTCCTTCCTCAGATTCTCACAGTTAGCCCGCCCGCGTGCACGCGCTGCTGCCTCGGGATCTGTGCGGGAGAGGGATTTGCAAAGGCATGCGGAATTCGCAAAGTCACAAGGGATTCGTGAAGGCACAATAGCTTCGCGAAGGCATGAGTACTTCTCTAACTTACGAGGCATTTGCAAAGGCATGAAAGTTTTGCAAAAGGGCGAGAAGCGAGGAGCAGCTGAGGGAGGGAGACAAGAAAGGCGAGGGATGAGTTGGATTGGAAAGAATCAATGCAACGAGCGGGTGGAGGAGGACTTGCCAGAGCGCCGTGGCCGCCAAGGAGGATTTTGTTGAACTAATGCACCGCCACGTCAGCCATGGCGGCGCTCCGAGGGCCGGTGCTGATGAGGCGAGGCTGCCTACTTCGCGAAAGCAGCTACTGTATATGGACACGATCGTTGCACCCATCACAAAAATGTGTATGTATGGAAATCAATGAACCATTTCTTTTTTACCCTGCATTCCGAAAACGTTTGATAATCCTTTATGAATCATCTACTGTCTGAATGTTATTATTGTCTAGCCTGCAGTTGGGTACTCTATAGCGAGTTCAACCCAATTAGGGTTTCCTATATGTATGCCAACTGCTGCTAGTGCAACCCCTCCTTTGCTCATTGCTGTTTCTCACTTCTTGTTTCTGACATGCTATCAGAGCAGGTCGACCCCCTCGGGTCGATCCTGTGGGTGGGCCCGCCACCTAACTGCTTCCGCTGCTGTTCTACTTCTCGCGCGCCTCGGGCGCGCGACATCTTCTTCCTGCGAAAATTTGTAGGGATTCTTCATCCCGCCGTGCTCTCGGGGCGCGCGGCGGTTTTCTGCTGTGGGGACCCACGCACAGCCCCCACCGGTCTCGTCGCGTCGCCCTGTAGGCCGCGCGCGCCCCCCCTCCCGTCCGTCGCGGTGCCCTGGGGAGCTGCGTGCGCCCCCCCGCCCGTCCGTCGCGGCGCCCTAGGGAGTCGCGCGCGGCCCCCGCCCGTCCGTTGCGGCGCCCTGGGGAGCCGTGCGCGCCCCCTGCCCGTCCGTCGCGGCGCCCTGGGGAACCGCGCACGCCCCCTCGCCCGTCCGTTTCGGCGCCCTGAGGAGGAGCGCGCGGCCCCCCTTCTGTCCCGCCCCCCCCCCCCCTCCCCCCCCCTGTGCTGCCCGTTCCTCCCGTGCCGCCGTGCGTTCCACGGTGGTGGGGGGTGTGGGGTGGCGAGCATGGGGGTGTGCGGTGTGGGTGCTCCCCTTCCCTCTCCCCTCCTCCTTGTTCGTCTCCCACTGCTGCAGCTAATGCTGAGGGGGGTGGAGGTGTGGGAGCCGAGGGGAGTGGAGCCAGGGGGGTGACGTGGGAGTGGAGTTAGGGTTTCTGCAGGGGGTGTGTGAGAGGGGCGTGGGATGGCCAGGGGAGGTTGCGTGGAGGCTGCCGTCGTGTCGCCTTCAGCGCTAGTAGTCCGGAGTCGTCGTGCTCTTGGTAGCCCAGAGAGCCTGCTGTGCTTGTCGCCCGTGGGTCCGTTGCTCTTGCCGCTCCTCGTAGCCGCCGAGCCTGTTACTCCTGTAGTCCGGTGCCCTCGTGCGCTCGGTGGCCACTATGTGCGCGCTCCTATTGCCCGTGTGACTGCAGCTTCAGCCGTCGTCTCCCATCTTCTCTCCCCTCACAATTCCTCCTCCTCCTCACTTGCCCTCTGTGATCGCCTCTAGCTTTGCTTATAATTGTGAACTATTGCTATGCCTGCTCATTGTGCTGATTACACCCCACTTTGGCTATCGGGGTGTGTCAGAATGTTATTATTGTCTAGCCTGCAGTGGGGTACTCTATAGCAAGTACAACCCAACTAGGGTTTCCTATATGTATGCCAACTGCTGCTAGTGCAACCCCTCCTTTGCTCATCGCTGTTTCTCACTTCTTGTTTCTGACATCTACAACTGATTTGTATATCAATTTTTAAGTTCCATATGTTTTGCGGATGTTTTGCTAATGATTTACTAATGTTTCTATAGTTGATTTGTCATATCTTTGTTCAAACATTAGTGATGGCATTTCATAACCTGTTTAGTTCCATGTATCGTCAGATAATAACATGTGAAAACATTAGAGGTTGTCACCAGACAATTGTTTAAACAAGAAGATATAATCATGCTACCTCCCTTTCTGATTTGTAAGTTAGGTGTAGATAACTATGCTACCTCATTTTTTAGACTATGTGAGTGCGGAAGCAAGCGCGTCTCAAGCCTATGTTGCATCGCCTCAACCGCAGCAGCCTTGCACACCCGTACACCCACGCCACTCCCACCTTCCCAATGCTCTCCCACCCTCCACCCCCTTCCCCAACCCCTTTCCCGCACAGCACCGCGCCCTGCGGTGCACTTCGATGCAGTGTGGTGCGGTGGTGGAGGGTACCTTCGATCTCGGCATCGCCCCAGTTGCGGCCGCTGGTGGCGAGCTCTCTCTTGCGCGGCTAGAAGCCGAGCGTGGAGGCAAAGAAGGGCGAGAGTGCGTCCACGTCAGCCTTGGTAAAGCCGTTGAGCTTCACCTTGCCGCCCGCCTTCAGCCGCGCGCCCACCTTCAGCCGCACGCACAGCTGGTACTCGCGCGGCACGCGCATCCACACCACACTCGCCACGTCTGTGCGGTGCACGTCCACCTGCTTCCCCCCCGCCCAACTTCCGCCATGTTAGCCCGCCCTCGTGCACGCGCAGCTGCCCCGGGATCTGTGCAAGAGAGGGATTCGCGAAGGCATGCGGAATTCGCAAAGTCACGAGGGATTCGCGAAGGCACAAAAGCATGAGTACTTTGCAAACTGACGAGGCATTTGCAAAGGCATGAAAGTCTTGCAAAAGGGCGAGAAGCAAGGAGCAGCTGAGGGAGGGAGACAAGGAAGGCGAGCGTTGAGTTGGAACGGAAAGAATCAACGCAACTAGCAGGCGGAGGAGGACTTGCCAGAGCGCCGTGGCCGCCGAGGAGGATTTTGTTGAACTAATGCACCACCGTCAGCCATGGCGGCGCTCCGAGGGCCGCTGCTGATGAGGAGAGGATGCCTACTCCGCGAAAGCGACTACTGTATATGGACACGATCGTTGTACCCATCACAAAAATGTGTATGTCTGGAAATCATTCGACCATATTTTTTTTTACCCTGCATTCCGAAAACGTTTGATAATCCTTTAGGAATCATCTACAACTGATTTGTATATCATTTGTTTCATTCCAGATGTTTTGCGGATGTTTTGCTAATGATTTACTATCAGAATGTTATTGTATACATCACTTTATAACTGCTTGCAATGTAGACTTAGTGTAGTTATCTTGCTTGTTAGGTGGTGCACCTTGCTTTACTTCTTTCATATTTGTACCCTTGAACCTATAGTGAAACCACATTCTCCTCTCTCAACTCTCTCGATACTTTCCTTACCCTCGAACTTAACTACCAAGGCACCTAAACCTATGGCTCCTAAGCCCACCTACTCTTAGCCTATCTCAACATGGAATCAGAGCAACTACGCTCTTGGTCTGTGGGCCCCACGTGCTTCCGCTGCTTTCTTTTCTGTCGCGCGCCCCGTGGCGCGCGACATTTTTTTCTTCCCGCCACGCGCTCGGGGCGCGTGGCGGTTTTCCGCCCGCCGTGCGCCCCGGACGCGCGGCGTCTTCCTGCCCCGACGCCACCCTTCTCGGCCCCCTCACGGCCTCTTCGCGGCCCCGTTGCTGCTCCTCTCACGGCCCCTCGCGCTACCCTCAGTGGCTCCTCGCCACACTTAGCAGCTCCTTTGCCGCCCCTTGTGGCCCTGTCACCTGCTCGTCGCGGCGCACCCCCCCCTGGCCGCCGCCTCTGCCTCCCTTGCGCCCGTGCCTGCTTTGCAGCAGCGCGCGGGCCTGCCTTGCAACAGCAGCCGCCCCTGGAGCAGCCGCCGCTGCAGCAGCCGCCCCTGGAGCCGCTACTGCAGCAGCAACCTCTGGAGCAGCCGCCCCAGCAGCAGCCGCCCCTGGAGCAGCCGCCGCTGCAGCAGCCGCCCCTGGAGCAGCCGTCACTGCAGCAGCCGCCCCTGGAGCGGCCACTGCAGCAGCAGCCCCTGGAGCAGCCGCCCCAGCTGCAGCCGCCCCTGGAGCAGCCGCCACTACAGCAGCCGCTCCTGGAGCCGTCACTGCAGCAGCAGCCGCCCTAGCAGCAGCAGCCCCTGGAGCAGACGCCCCAGCAGCAGCCGCCCCTGGAGCAGCCGCCCCAGCAGCAACCGCCCCTGGAGCAGCCGCCGCTGGAGCCGCCGCCCCTGGAGCAGCCGCCACTGCAGCAGCAGCCCCTGGAGCAGCCGCCCCAGCAGCAGCCGCCCCTGGAGCAGCCGCCGCTGCAGCAGCCGCCCTTGGAGCCGCCGCCCCTGAAGCAGCCGCCCCTGGAGCGGCCTGCCTTGCAACAGCAGCTGCCCCTGGAGCAGCCACCCCAACAGCAGCAGCCCCAGGAGCAGCCGCCCCAGCAGCAGCCGCCCCTGGAGCCGCCACTGCAGCAGCAGCCCCTGGAGCCGCCGCCCCTGAAGCAGCCGCCCCTGGAGCGGCCTGCCATGGAACAGCCGCCGCCCCTGGAGCAGCCACCCCAGCAGCAGCAGCCCCTGAAGCAGTCGCCGCTGCAGCAGCCGCCCCTGGAGCGGCCGCCGTTGCAGCAGCCGCCCCTGGAGCCGCCACTGCAGCAGCCGCCCCAGCAGCAGCCGCCCCTGGAGCAGCCGCCCCTGGAGCCGCTACCCCTGCAGCAGCCGCCCGTGGCCACTGGAGCAACCGCCACTGCAGCAGCCGCTCCTGGACCCGGTGCAGCCGTGGGGGGGTGGGTATGGGGGTGGCGGGTGTGGGGGTGATGAATGTGGGAAGGGGTGCGGCAAGGGGTGTGAAAGGGGAGTGGGACAGGTGAGGGAGGTTGAGTGGAGGTGGCCGCCGTGAAGTCAGCAGCTCCAGTCGCTCGTGAGACCGTTGCGCCAGTCGCCCGTGAGCCCGTCGCTCCAGTCGCCCGTGAGCCCGTTGCTCCAGTCGCCAGTGAGTCAGTTACTCCTGCCTCTCGTCTAGCCGCGGAGTCAGTTACTCAAGTTGCACGTGTGCCAGTTGCTCCAGTTGCCACTGTGCCAGTTTCTCCAGTTGCCCGTGTGCCAGTTGCTCCAGTTGTGCAGTGTGCCAGTAGCTTCAGCTACCGCCCACCACCTCCTCTTCTCTCATACTCCCTCCTCCTCCTCACTTGCCCTCTCCGTTTGCTGCGCTCTGCTTGGTGTACCCCTTCTGGGGGTGTTTTTGCACATGGTTCTTCACTCCAGGCAGTTAGGGGGTGTGTCAGAATGTTATTGTATACATCACTTTATAACTGCCTGCAATGTAGACTTAGTGTAGTTATCTTGCTTGTTAGGTGGTGCACCTTGCTTTACTTCTTTCATATTTGTACCCTTGAACCTATAGTGAAACCACATTCTCCTCTCTCAAATCTCTCGATACTTTCCTTACCCTCGAACTTAACTACCAAGGCACCTAAACCTATGGCTCCTAAGCCCACCTAATCTTAGCCTATCTCAACATTTACTAATATTTCTATGCTTGATTCGCCAGATGTTTGTTCAAAGATTAGTGATCGCATTTCATAACCTGTTTAGTCCCCTGTATTGTCAGATAATACTGTCATCACCCGGATAGTAGACGGTGTTGAATAGTAGACATGGGTTGTCTATTATCCGGGTGTCTCTCATAAACAGGCTAGCCTCATTATAAGACACCTATTTGTGTGTACGAGTTAAGCAAGTGTAAGAGTTAGGAGCAATTGTATAACGAGGGGATATCTTCTAAACGGTTCTTTGCCCATTTATAAGACTTATAAGATACCCAAAACCTCCCCAAATACAAGATAACCCAAGCATTTTTTCTAGTGTACGAGATAAGACATATATGTCTTATATTCGGGCGATGACGGTAACATGTGAAAATATGTAAGCCGAGTACACCAATACTCACACAACGCACACCAATACTTTTGCGCGCGTTATCATGCACATGGCAGCCATAGAAAGCCACTAATGAAGCTTTCTCACCATATCACCTTGCCCTCCGCACTCCCTGTCTCTTCTGCCTCCGAACCAGCCTTTTCACCCGCATCTCCCTCTGAGATCCCGTCACCCACCACTCCCTCATCACGCTCAACCTCACTACTCTGTCGCCCGCCCTCCCCACCGCCTTTGTCGCCCGGCCCCTCCACGCCCTCAGCGATCGACGCCACACCGGGTTTCCTCGCGGGGTGTCTCAGCCGGCCCTGCTCGTCGCGGAACCCGCCTCCCTGCTGGCGTCGCATGCTGCCCGAGATCACAAACGGCGTCATCGGCGCGCCGTCCTCAGGCGACTCTGGCGCTCCACCGCCCATGCCACCCACTGCATCCCCTGCGATCTGCAGTGACGGTTTGAATGGGCGGCGCGGTCCTGCCGCCCCGGCGGCAGGAGCAGCAGCAGGTGCGTTGAGGGTGGAGGAGGCGCCTCCCACGGGGGCGATGACGACGGTGGCGGGGAAGGTGGCAACCGGGGCAAGTGCTGCTGTGGGCGCTGCAAGTACCGTGGCGGAGGGCGGCGAGGCAGGGGAGATGCGTGGCACGCGGAGCAGGGAGGGGTGGGAGATGGAGAGGGCGGGGCGCGGGGCGGCACGGATGTCAGCGAGCAGCGCGTCCAACTCCACCCCGCGCACCCTCAGTGCGCTCACCCGTGCTGCGTCCTCGCTGGAGGGAGCGAGAGAGGCAACGCACAGTGTGTGATCAGTGAGGGTGAGGCGGCTTGCAGCCCCCTCACGGCATGGCAGGTGTGGCGCCATCGCTGCCACGACCGCGATGTGAGGGCTGCGAGGGGTGGAGTGTGAGGGGTGTGTGGACATGGTGGCAAGAAGTATACTTCCTGAGAGGAGGTGGGGCGGGTCAACGGTGAGGTGGAAAGTGAGATATGGTAGGAGGCACGTGGATTGTAAGGGGTATGAAGGGGTCAACTCTGTGGAAGCAGAGACTCAAACAGACAGACAGAGCTTTAGGGTGTTGAAAGGCAAGGCTTTCGCATGCTCAAATGCGAAGCGAGTGTGAGAGGCATGGCAGGTGCGGGGGTGGGGTGTGGTGGGGGATGGGCGTACGGGGAGGGCGAGGCGAGGGAGTCCATCCACGCGCTCACGTTCTTGAGCGCCAGCTCCGCCTCCCCCATGCACCACTTCACCTGGTGGCAGGCACGGGCAAGCACGGATGAGTGGCGATGAGATCATGGCAGGCGGTGAAAGCGGTGGCGAGGGTGGGGGGCCCGTGTGGGACAGAAGAGAGCACGTGTGGGTGGAGGTGTTGCGGTTCCGCAGGGGTTAAGGAGGTAAGGGACCGTTTGAGCTGCGACACGAGGAAGAGCAGCTCCTCGGATTTCGTGTCCATTGTGCCTATAACGAATATCTCTCGCGGTGCGGCCATGATTGCGCGCTGTCTGTACTCGCTACGGTATACGAGGATGTGAGTCTGAATGTGCGGTGAGTGCAAGCTCTACTATTTCCGACAACAATTCCAGGTTCAAGGGGTGTCGAAGTCGAAATGGCGCAGCGACTTGGTTGCGATGCTATACGAAAACACGAAATTTTAGAAATCTTGAAATGCGCAGCACTCTGGCCAGCTAGGGGAGTGTCATGGAAGGACTAGGCAGGAGAGGGGATATGGTACGGAAGCATGGATGGGTGGGGGGATTCGTGTACAAGGAAGAAGTCAAAAAATTACAACGGTTTCCGTCAAGACTTGGGCTTTCTAACGATTTCCGTCAAGCGCTTTCTGTCATCTGGCTGGGTCTTCCCCGTCAAAGCTGTCAGAATGTTATCTTATGCTCTAGCCTGTAGTGGGGTGCTTTATAGCGAGTACAACCCTTCTAGGGTTTTGCTATTTGTATCCTCATTCCTGCTAGTTCAACCCTCTTCTTTTCTTCTAATTTTGTCATGCTATCAGAGCAGGTAGATTCTCTTGGATCGATCCTGTGGGTGGGTTACCACCTCCTCGCTTCCGCTGCAACTTTTTCTTCCCGCCGTGCGCCCCGAGGCGCGCGGCGGTTTTCTGCCCGCCGTACGCCCCGAGGCGCGCGGCGGTTTTCTGCCCGCCGTGCGCCCCGAGGCGCGCGGCGGTTCTCTGCCCGCTCTGCGCCCCGTGGCGCGCGGCGGGCTTCTGCCCCGTCGTTCGCCGCGTCGCCCTCTGGAGGCGCCGCGACGGGCGACGGGGACCCGTCGCGGCCCCGCCGCCCCACTTCGCGGCCCCGCCGCCTCACGTCGCGGCCCCGCCGCCTTACGTTGCGGCCCCGCCACCCTACGTTCGCGGCCCCGCCGCCCCACTTCGCGGCCCCGCCGCCCTTCTGTCGCGGCCCCGCCGCCCCACCTTCGCGGCCCCGCCGCCCTACACCTGTGGCCCCGCCGCCCTACACCTGTGGCCCCGCCGCCCTCCTTGCGCCCCGGCCCCATTTCCCGTCGCCCGTCGAGGCGACCCTCGGGGGCCGGGCGAGCGCCGCCATCCCACCCTGCCTACCCGCCATCCCACCCTTTCTGTGTTAGGGTTTGGGGGTGGCACGCAGGTGGTGGCGAGTATGGGGGTGGCACTTCCTCATTCCTCCCTTTGCTCCTCCTCCTCCTTCGTCTCCCACTGCTGCAGCTGTCGCTGAGGGGGGTGGATGTGTGGGAGACTGGGGTTTAGGGTTTAAGGGGGGGTGCGTGGGAGTGGAGCTAGTGGTGTAGCAGCGGGTGTGTGTCGGGGGAGTGGGACTGTTTGGGGAAGTTGCACGGAGGTTGCCGTCGTGTCGCCAGCAGCACCTGTAGTCCGGGGACTTCGTCCGGTAGCCCAGTCGTAGCCAGCTGTGCCAGCCGCCCGTGGGTCCGTTGCTCGTCTGCCGCTACTTTAGCCGCGGGGCCTGCTACTCCTGTATTCCGGGGACTTCGTCCGGTAGCCGCTGTGCCAGTCTGCCTACTGTTGCCCGTGTGTCTGCAGCTTCAGCCGTCGCCTCCTATCTTCTCTCCTCTCACTCTCTCTCCTCCTCCTCGCTTGCCCGTTGTTACTACCACTAGCTTTGGTCATAATTGTACCCTTTAAACTCTTGCTTCTTGAACTTGTGCTCAGAATGTGTGGTGACATTGTGATCCACCCTGAGCTTGTACTGCTTTGCCTGCTTTGCTGATTACACCCCACTTTGACTATGGGGGTGTGTCAGAATGTTATCTTATGCTCTAACCTGTAGTGGGGTGCTCTATAGCGAGTACAACCCTTCTAGGGTTTTGCTATTTGTATCCTCATTCCTGCTAGTTCAACCCTCTTCTTTTCTTCTAATTTTGTCAAAAGCACCCAAGCAACATTGACATAAACAGAAGGCGCGCCCCATTTCCCCCCCCTTGGCAGATTTTCTTGACGTGGCAAGATGCAAATCCACACCAGCTCAGCATGGGTGTCACGATGACTTCACGAGGACAAGCGAGGATAAAACTGTTCCTCACCCAGCAAAGTCATTTGATCTACACCCAGAAAAGCAAGTCACTAAGCGATACTGCAACAAACAGTTAGGAACTTAACCCAACCTTATGATTTATTTGTTCCATTTGTAACAAAGTATTTGTTGGAAACAAGTGATTAAAGCGCCTCTGTCGCGTCGAAACACTAAGTCGCAAACGAAGCGAAACACAGCGAAGCATCAGCGAGTCAACCTGGGCATCGAAAAACATTACAATGCATGGAAGATTTTCGACATCGACACAAAGGAAACAGTAGCAGCACGTGATGTCATCTTCTACAAGAACCTCACCCTCCGAACATACCTTGCCAATGTGGAAGAAAACAACCCAGACCTCTCGGGCGGATTCCTTGGCAGCCAAGCCTTCGCTTCGGCAGAAGACGAAGCTGACTAGGACGAGCAAAACGTGGAAGGAGCCTCGGAGGAAGCCGAACATCTTCCCTACTGTTCGGTCGATGTTCCGATGGACGACGAAAATCCACGCGACAGCATCAGTGCCGAAATCTACTATCACTTCGCCGACAATGGTTACGTAAAACCTGCACAAGTCAACACCAACGAAGGAGAACGCATAGAACCAAATTTCAACCCTACACCAGAAGCGGGAGATGAAGCAGTCTATCCCGAGGATACAACACTCCCCCGCTACACACAGAGTGGACTCCAGATACTCGGCCTTGTCACCGCGGTTCACGGCACGGCGATTCCTAAGGAGCCTGCCACAGTTCAGCAGGCTCTGGGGGGGGAGCATAGGGAAAAATGGCGCGAAGCCATGGACAGGGAACTGAAAGCACTGGAGGAACGCAGCACTTGGAAATTCGTTCCCATCGGAGTGGCACGGAACAAAACAGTTCTCACCGGAAAATGGGTTTTCCGTGTGAAGACAAAGGCAGACGGCACCATCGACAAGTTTAAGGCGCGCTGGGTCGTGCGCGGTTTCGACCAAGAGCACGGACGCGATTTCACCGAGACGTTCGCCCCGGTCAGCCGACACACTTCGTTTCGAATTCTCCCCGCGATCGCCGCCATGAAGAAGAAGAAGCTGCGGCAAATTGACGTCGCCAATGCATTTCTCGACGCACCTGTTGACGCCGAAATCTTCGTCGAACTTCCACACGGCTCCAACGGAGAGCCCAACCAAGTCTGTCAGCTGCTGAAGTCCCTGTACGATATTAAACAAGCCCCGAGACTGTGGCAACAGTACCTACACGCTAGACTTATCCGCATCGGATTCCGCCAACTTCCGCACGACCAGGGCATGTACCGGCTCACGAAAGGTGACAACTACATTCTGCTCATCGTCTACGTGGATGATCTGCTCTACATCGGCTCGACTGACAGCGTCACTACTTGGTTCAAAGGGGAGCTGCAGCAGGACCTCACTCTCACAGTGTCATCAACCGTCACGCAATATCTCGGCCTCAACATCCAGGAAGAGGAAGGCGCGATCTATCTCAACGCCGCGAAATATGCCGACACTATCGCCCTACATCCGAGATGGCAGCTGACTACTTGACCAAGAAGCTCGAAAAGCATAAGTTCGAGTACTGCATGCTGCTGAGTGGACATAGCCACGTCACCAGCAGCGACACTCCAGAAGCGAAGAGGAGTGTTGGAAACAAGTGATTTAAGCGCCTCTGTCGCGTCGAAACATCAAGTCGTAAACGAAGCGAAACACAACGAAGCATCAGCGAGTCAACCTTCGGAGGTTGAGCAACTGCTGGAGGTTACGCGAAAGTCAAAGGTAAGCGACCTTTGACGTGACAAGTACAGCGCGACAGCAAGGACAAACAACTGACTCGTTATTGAGTAGTTGCCCGAGTCGTCACTGTATCGAACCGCAACAGCAATAGTAAAACGGTTATTAACTGTATCTCTTCGTATTCCTTATACTCCTATATAAGCTTGTATCTCTTTGTTTTAATTAATCTACTTTGCCCTCACATACCAACGCAAGGTGGTTCACAGACTTATCATTAAACGCTTCCGCTATTACATTGTTCCTACTCAGAGTTTAGTCCTGCAAAGATCCTAAGGGCTTTTTTTCTCAGCCCAACAGTATCTCTATAAAAGATACCGCCCTAATTCTATTCGCTATAGAAAGAATTACGCATCTGTTTGTTGCACCTCTTGGGCATGTGCCGCATTGGCATGCTCCAGGTCACTCATCAACTCCTCAATAGGCGCCCCATAGTAGTCATCATCATACTCGTAATCATCTTCCCCCCCACCCGTCCCTTCTCCCCCCCCTTCCCCCTCTCCCGCCTCCCCCCATTCCTCCCCCTCGTCCCCATACTCATCCCCCCACCCTGCCCCCTCCACAGCACCCTGCCCCCCTACCACCTTCCCTGCCCTGCCTCTGCTATCCACCTCATCCTCATCATAGTCTTCCTCGTTAACAGATCTTCTGCTAAGAGCAGTGCCCCCTTCGTTCCCATGCACTTCACCATCGCCAGCACCACTGCGAGCTTCCTCACCCCCCTGCCCTGTCCCCTCTTTCTCCTGCCTCTCCTGTCCAGCCCATCCCATGCCTCTACCTGCCACCCCAACTCCTTCCCCAGTCCCCTCTCCACCAAGCAAGCCTGCACCATTACCACCCGCACCAGAAGCCACCTCCCCTGTTCCACTAGCACCAGAGGCAACACTGTCCCTCTCACTGCTCGCACCCCTATCACCCCCAGAGGCAACACTCTCTCTCCCACCTCTATCACGCACAGGCAGCAGCAGTGGCAGGCGACAGAAGTGGTCTTCGATGCCCCCGCAGCAGCTGAGCAAGTTGGTGCGTGCCAGTGAATGGAGCAGTGACTCTAGCACCAGCAGCGATGGGCGCCGATGCAGCTCTGATCGCACTGAAGGCACGTGCATGGGGCTGGGGGAAAATGGGTGGGAGACAAGGGAGGAGAAGTGACCTTGATGTGAGGAGGTGGTTGGGGATGCACGTTAGAGCATGCCATAGAGACTTTGGTACAACCAACTTTCAAAAAACGCTTGCAACAACAAGGATTGTAATATGAACAGCAACATGTAAAACGTGAATATTTGAGACGTCTCAAAATATCACTTTTTACACGTCACTTGCAACAACAAGGAGTCTAGTATGAACAGCTCTTTAGGCGCTGGGAAGATTCACCTCTGCAGCACATGCACGGAGGCGTTGCGGGTAAGGCCAAACAATGTGAGCTTGTCGCACGCATGCAGCAGCACGTAGAGCACGGGCCAGTGCGGGGGCATGTGCGGCATGGGGATGGGGATGACTGCTTCCCCTCCTGCCCCTGCTGCCCCTGCTGCCCCTGCTGCCGCTGCCACCACCCCACTTGTTGCAGCAGCAGCAGCAGCTGTAGCACTAGAAGCAGCACCAGAGGCTGCAGGCATGGGAGCACCGATGGCACATTGGAAGCGGTGGGCAAAGGCGTTGAAGAGGCGGCGAGCTTCGTCCGTTAGTGCGTGGGGGAGGAAGAGGGCCTGAGGGGAAAGGGGGGGAGGAGAGGGGGGGGAGAGGAGGAGGAGGGCGGGGGGAGGAGGGAAGGGAAGAAACGGAGGCATGGACGCTGGACGGATAAATTGCTGTTCTAACCCTCCAGAACAGAGGGCAGGTATGTATGTGGTGTGGTCCATGCTAAAAGAAAATAGTCGGGCACCTCCAAAACAAAAGGCACCTCCAAAACGAATAGCAGGTTGTGATAAGGTCCACTAGGCATCTCCATGAATTGAATGGATTTCGCTCACCTCATCCTCCTCGCCCCCTGCACTCGTGTCCCCGCGTCGCCTGCCCACGTGCCCTCTGCTCACACCCAGCTGCTGCAAGGCTGGCAGCCAGGGCAGTGAGGCAAGAAGGGCTGAGCTGGACGAAGGAGTGGAGAGGACATGGGCCGCTTACACACCGCATAGCTCACCTCATCATCCTCCCCTGCATCCCCTCGTCGCCTGCCCACGTGCCCTCTGCTCAAACCCAGCTGCTGCAGCGGTGGCAGCCAGGGCAGTGAGGCAACAAGGGCCGAGCTGGCGGGTAGTGGGAAGGTGGGAGGGGAGTGAGGGGGGAGACAGGGGGACGAGGTGCAGGGAGGAACAGAAGGCGAAAGGGGATGATGAGGCGCCTTGCAGGGGTGTCGTCGTGAACCCTCGTATGCACTCCAGTCAATCATGGCTCGCCACACAAATGACAAATGACTCGATTTGCGACCTCGCACCCAACACGATTTGTACCGAGCCGACCAGGCTCGTGTTTATGTCTGGCCTCCCCTGTGACTCCCCACTCTCTCACTCCCCACTCTCACTCCCCACTCTCTCACTCCCCACTCTCTCACTCCCTACTCTCTCACTCCCCACTCTCTCACTCCCCACTCTCTCACTCCCCACTCTCTCAATCCCCACTATCTCACTACCCACTCTCTCACTCCCCACTCTCTCACTCCCCACACTCTCACTCCCCACAATCTCACTCCCACACTCTCATTCCCCACACTCACTCTCTACACTCTCCCTCACCAGATTCCCACTCCCCACACCCTCATTCCCCACACTCTCACTCCTCACTCTCTCGCTCCCCACTCTCTCACTCCCCACTCTCTCACTCCCCACTCTCTCACTCCCCACTCTCTCACTCCCCACTCTCTCACTCCCCACTCTCTCACTCCCCACTCTCTCACTCCCCACTCTCTCACTCCCCACTCTCTCACTCTCCACTCTCTCACTCCCCACACTTTCCCTCGCCACATTCCCACTCTCCACACCCTCACTCCCCACACTCTTACTCCCCACACTCACTCCCCACCCTCTCACTCCTCACACCTATCAGCATGCAGGTATGCCACGGAGTGATTCACCAGCTTCAGAAAGTTTACTTTTACTCCCCAATCTCTCACCCCACCCTTTCTCACCTGTCAGCGCGTAGGTATGCCACTGATCGGCCCGTCAGCCCCAGCAAGTTGACTCTTGAATCAACTCAAAAGCCAACAGACTTTTTTCTGATCAAATCATAATCATTCCCCACACTCTCACTCCCCACACTCGCACCTGTCAGCACGTAGGTATGCCAATCTCTCACCTGTCAGCACGTAGGTATGCCACTGATCGTCCCTTCAGCCCATGGAAGGTGTCTTCTGTGTCAACTCGACAGCCAAAACTATATTTTTGAGTGAACTACAAAAACGTCCCTAACACTCGCACCTGTCAGCACGTAGGAATGCCACCGATCGGCCCTTCAGCCCCAGCAAGCGTCGCCGCCCCACCCCTCTCCCCCTTCCTCTCCCCACCCCCTTGGTGAGCCCTCTCCCCGTGCCCCCTCCCCCCGCCCCTCCCCCCACCTCGTGTGTGCCGTGCAGGCCCCCTCCCCCTCCACCCCCCACCTCCACCCACACATCTGTTCGACTGCCCAGGCTGGTGGGGAGACGGAGGGGGAGATTGAAGGGAGAGGGGAGAGAGCACAAGGAGTTGTGACAGAAAGGAGGGGATCTCTCTTCCTTCCCTTCCACCTCCACCCACTCGTCTGTTCGACTGCCCAGGCTGGTGCGTGGGGAGAGGGGGGAATCCAAGGGAGGGAAGGATGAAAGGGAGAGGGGGATGAAAGGGAGAGGGGGATGAAAGGGAGAAGGGAGAGAGCAAGAAGGGAGAGAGCAAGAAGGGAGAGAGCAAGAAGGGAGAGAGAAAGAAGGGAGAGAGCAAGAAGGGAGAGAGCAAGAAGGGAGAGAGCAAGAAGGGAGAGAGCAAGAAGGGCGAGAGCAAGAAGGGCGAGAGCAAGAAGGGAGAGAGCAAGAAGGGAGAGAGCAAGAAGGGAGAGAGCAAGAAGGGAGAGAGCAAGAAGGGAGAGAGCAAGAAGGGAGAGAGCAAGAAGGGTGAGAGCAAGAAGGGAGAGAGCAAGAAGGGCGAGAGCAAGAAGGGAGAGAGCAAGAAGGGAGAATGCAAGAAGGGCGAGAGCAAGAAGGGAGAGAGCAAGAAGGGCGAGAGCAAGAAGGGAGAATGCAAGAAGGGAGAGAGCAAGAAGGGAGAGAGCAAGAAGGGAGAGAGCAAGAAGGGAGAGAGAAAGAAGGGAGAGAGCAAGAAGGGCGAGAGCAAGAAGGGAGAGAGCAAGAAGGGAGAGAGCAAGAAGGGAGAGAGCAAGAAGGGAGAGAGCAAGAAGGGCGAGAGCAAGAAGGGCGAGAGCAAGAAGGGAGAGAGCAAGAAGGGAGAGAGCAAGAAGGGAGAGAGCAAGAAGGGAGAGAGCAAGAAGGGCGAGAGCAAGAAGGGAGAGAGCAAGAAGGAAGAGAGCAAGAAGGGAGAGAGCAAGAAGGGAGAGAGCAAGAAGGAGAGAGCAAGAAGGGAGAGAGCAAGAAGGGAGAGAGCAAGAAGGGAGAGAGCAAGAAGGGAGAGAGCAAGAAGGGCGAGAGCAAGAAGGGAGAGAGCAAGAAGGGAGAGAGCAAGAAGGGTGAGAGCAAGAAGGGAGAGAGCAAGAAGGGTGAGAGCAAGAAGGGAAAGAGCAAGAAGGGAGAGAGCAAGAAGGGAGAGAGCAAGAAGGGCGAGAGCAAGAAGGGCGAGAGCAAGAAGGGAGAGAGCAAGAAGGGCGAGAGCAAGAAGGGAGAGAGCAAGAAGGGAGAGAGCAAGAAGGGAGAATGCAAGAAGGGAGAGAGCAAGAAGGGAGAGAGCAAGAAGGGAGAGAGCAAGAAGGGCGAGAGCAAGAAGGGCGAGAGCAAGAAGGGAGAGAGCAAGAAGGGAGAATGCAAGAAGGGCGAGAGCAAGAAGGGAGAGAGCAAGAAGGGCGAGAGCAAGAAGGGAGAATGCAAGAAGGGAGAGAGCAAGATGGGAGAGAGCAAGAAGGGAGAGAGCAAGAAGGGAGAGAGAAAGAAGGGAGAGAGCAAGAAGGGCGAGAGCAAGAAGGGAGAGAGCAAGAAGGGAGAGAGCAAGAAGGGAGAGAGCAAGAAGGGAGAGAGCAAGAAGGGCGAGAGCAAGAAGGGCGAGAGCAAGAAGGGAGAGAGCAAGAAGGGAGAGAGCAAGAAGGGAGAGAGCAAGAAGGGAGAGAGCAAGAAGGGCGAGAGCAAGAAGGGAGAGAGCAAGAAGGAAGAGAGCAAGAAGGGAGAGAGCAAGAAGGGAGAGAGCAAGAAGGAGAGAGCAAGAAGGAGAGAGCAAGAAGGGAGAGAGCAAGAAGGGAGAGAGCAAGAAGGGAGAGAGCAAGAAGGGCGAGAGCAAGAAGGGAGAGAGCAAGAAGGGAGAGAGCAAGAAGGGTGAGAGCAAGAAGGGAGAGAGCAAGAAGGGAGAGAGCAAGAAGGGTGAGAGCAAGAAGGGAGAGAGCAAGAAGGGAGAGAGCAAGAAGGGAGAGAGCAAGAAGGGCGAGAGCAAGAAGGGAGAGAGCAAGAAGGGCGAGAGCAAGAAGGGAGAGAGCAAGAAGGGAGAGAGCAAGAAGGGAGAATGCAAGAAGGGCGAGAGCAAGAAGGGAGAGAGCAAGAAGGGCGAGAGCAAGAAGGGCGAGAGCAAGAAGGGAGAGAGCAAGAAGGGCGAGAGCAAGAAGGGAGAGAGCAAGAAGGGCGAGAGCAAGAAGGGAGAATGCAAAAAGGGAGAGAGCAAGAAGGGAGAGAGCAAGAAGGGCGAGAGCAAGAAGGGAGAGAGCAAGAAGGGCGAGAGCAAGAAGGGAGAGAGCAAGAAGGGAGAGAGCAAGAAGGGAGAGAGCAAGAAGGGAGAGAGCAAGAAGGGAGAGAGCAAGAAGGGCGAGAGCAAGAAGGGAGAGAGCAAGAAGGGAGAGAGCAAGAAGGGAGAGAGCAAGAAGGGCGAGAGCAAGAAGGGAGAGAGCAAGAAGGGAGAGAGCAAGAAGGGAGAGAGCAAGAAGGGCGAGAGCAAGAAGGGAGAGAGCAAGAAGGGCGAGAGCAAGAAGGGAGAGAGCAAGAAGGGAGAGAGCAAGAAGGGAGAGAGCAAGAAGGGAGAGAGCAAGAAGGGCGAGAGCAAGAAGGGAGAATGCAAAAAGGGAGAGAGCAAGAAGGGAGAGAGCAAGAAGGGAGAGAGCAAGAAGGGCGAGAGCAAGAAGGGAAAGAGCAAGAAGGGAGAGAGCAAGAAGGGTGAGAGCAAGAAGGGAGAGAGCAAGAAGGGAGAGAGCAAGAAGGGAGAGAGCAAGAAGGGAGAGAGCAAGAAGGGCGAGAGCAAGAAGGGAAAGAGCAAGAAGGGAGAGAGCAAGAAGGGTGAGAGCAAGAAGAGAGAGAGCAAGAAGGGCGAGAGCAAGAAGGGAGAGAGCAAGAAGGGCGAGAGCAAGAAGGGAGAGAGCAAGAAGGGAGAGAGCAAGAAGGGCGAGAGCAAGAAGGGAGAGAGCAAGAAGGGAGAGAGCAAGAAGGGAGAGAGCAAGAAGGGAGAGAGCAAGAAGGGAGAGAGCAAGAAGGGAGAGAGCAAGAAGGGAGAGAGCAAGAAGGGAGAGAGCAAGAAGGGAGAGAGCAAGAAGGGAGAGAGCAAGAAGGGAGAGAGCAAGAAGGGCGAGAGCAAGAAGGGAGAGAGCAAGAAGGGAGAGAGCAAGAAGGGAGAGAGCAAGAAGGGAGAGAGCAAGAAGGGCGAGAGCAAGAAGGGAGAGAGCAAGAAGGGAGAGAGCAAGAAGGGAGAATGCAAGAAGGGCGAGAGCAAGAAGGGAGAGAGCAAGAAGGGCGAGAGCAAGAAGGGAGAATGCAAGAAGGGAGAGAGCAAGAAGGGAGAGAGCAAGAAGGGAGAGAGCAAGAAGGGAGAGAGAAAGAAGGGAGAGAGCAAGAAGGGCGAGAGCAAGAAGGGAGAGAGCAAGAAGGGTGAGAGCAAGAAGGGAGAGAGCAAGAAGGGCGAGAGCAAGAAGGGAGAGAGCAAGAAGGGCGAGAGCAAGAAGGGAGAGAGCAAGAAGGGAGAGAGCAAGAAGGGCGAGAGCAAGAAGGGAGAGAGCAAGAAGGGAGAGAGCAAGAAGGGAGAGAGCAAGAAGGGAGAGAGCAAGAAGGGCGAGAGCAAGAAGGGAGAGAGCAAGAAGGGAGAGAGCAAGAAGGGAGAGAGCAAGAAGGAGAGAGCAAGAAGGGAGAGAGCAAGAAGGGAGAGAGCAAGAAGGGAGAGAGCAAGAAGGGAGAGAGCAAGAAGGGCGAGAGCAAGAAGGGAGAAAGCAAGAAGGGAGAGAGCAAGAAGGGTGAGAGCAAGAAGGGAGAGAGCAAGAAGGGAGAGAGCAAGAAGGGAGAGAGCAAGAAGGGCTTGCGATTCAGAAAGAGAGGCCCCCTCCCCCTCTACCCCCAACCTCCACCCACATGTCAGTGCGACTGCCCAGGCTGGTGGGGGAGGGAGTGATGAGGGGGAAATAGAGAGAGGGAGAAACAGAGTAGAGAATCAGTGAAAGGAAGGTCAAGTTCCCTTTAGTTCCCCCCTTCTCCACCCAGGCTTGTTGCTACTGTGCCACCACCCAGGCTTGTTGCTACCGTGCCACCACCCAGGCTTGTTGCTACCGTGCCACCACCCAGGCTTGTTGCTACCGTGCCACCACCCAGGCTTGTTGCTACCGTGCCACCACCCAGGCTTGTTGCTACCGTGCCACCACCCAGGCTTGTTGCTACCGTGCCACCACCCAGGCTTGTTGCTACCGTGCCACCACCCAGGCTTGTTGCTACCGTGCCACCACCCAGGCTTGTTGCTACCGTGCCACCACCCAGGCTTGTTGCTACTGCCACCACCCAGGCTTGTGCTACCGTGCCACCACCCAGGCTTGTTGCTACCGTGCCACCACCCAGGCTTGTTGCTACCGTGCCACCACCCAGGCTTGTTGCTACCGTGCCACCACCCAGGCTTGTTGCTACTGTGCCACAACCCAGGCTTGTTGCTGGGCCGTAGACAGCATGGGGGAGTGCAAGTGAACATGCTGTCCCAGCAACACGCCTGGGTGGTGAACAGCACGCGGGTGTGCATTGGTGGGTGTGTGCATTGGTGGGTGTGTGCACTGGTGGGTGTGTGCATTGGTGGGTGTGTGCATTGGTGGGTGTGTGCATTGGTGGGTGTGTGCATTGGTGGGTGTGTGCATTGGTGGGTGTGTGCATTGGTGGGTGTGTGCATTGGTGGGTGTGTGCATTGGTGGGTGTGTGCATTGGTGGGTGTGTGCATTGGTGGGTGTGTGCATTGGTGGGTGTGTGCATTGGTGGGTGTGTGCATTGGTGGGTGTGTGCATTGGTGGGTGTGTGCATTGGTGGGTGTGTGCATTGGTGGGTGTGTGCATTGGTGGGTGTGTGCATTGGTGGGTGTGTGCATTAGTGGTGTACACATGCACACACTAATGCACGCACCCACCAATGCACTGCATCGCACGCACCCAGTGCATACCTTTTCAGCAAACTCACACGTAGGCCTGCAGGCGGGTGGGCGAGGTGCGCTGCCCCATGCGCAGCACGAGGGAGTGCGAGTCGATGGCTGCCCCAAAGTGAGGCGCGGAGGGTGCATGGGAGAGGTGAGGACCCACCACGGCACAGGAGCTGCGAGACAAAAGGGGGGTTTAGTGGGACGAGGGGTTGCAGCATGAAGATTCAGGCGCACAGCCTTGATCTTTGAGGCGCGGAGGGCGTGTGGGAGAGAAGAGGACCCACCACGGCACATGGGCTTAGAGAAGAGGGGAGATGATTGCAGGTGGGGGAAAGAAGGGGATGCTATGGTGGGGGATGCTATGGTGGGGGATGCTATGGTGGGGGATGTGGGCTGCAGAAGGGGTGTGGAAGAGGTTGTGCTTACTGGAGCACAGCAGGTGATGAGGAGGAGAGGAGGAGAGGATAGGAGGAAGGGAGAAGCGGAAAGAGAGGAGGATAAGGAAGGAGGAAGGCAGGAAGTGGGCATGCATACAGTTGACGACGCAGCAGTGGTAGATAAGCTGTTTTCAAGTCCAGTGCATGCACTGTTTTCAAGTCCAGTGCATGCACTGTTTTCAAGTCCATTGGTTTTGAAAATTCTCCCAAACCAACTTCAATCCGATATACATCAGAATGCGACATGCATAGCAGTGCATCAAACAAACAGAACGACGGGAGACGGCATACACACACACACCCAAGGGAAGGAAAACTATTGCTGCTGCTGCTGCTGCTCTGACCCCCGGCATCAGCAGCACCACTCTCACTATCCTTCCCCCCACCCCTCTCCCCTCCTCTCCCCTCCCTCACTCGCCTCCCCCGCACAGCTATGAGTGCCCCCACTGCTGCAAGCCCATTTACTCCTGGCCACTCACCCACCATCACCCCCTCACACTCCCTCACTCGCCCTCCCCCTCTCCCTTCCCCGCCCCCTCCTCTACCTCCTCGCTTCCTCCTCCTTTCCTGCAACCCCCTGCCACTGCCCCCACCATCCTTCCCCCTGCCATTCGTTTTCCTTCTCCCTCTCACCGCATGCTCCTTACCCACTCTCTCCCCGGCTCTTCTCACTCCCCCCACCTGCCGCCTCACCCAAAACTCCCCTCTATCCTCCTCTCCATCCTCCCCTCGGGCCTCCGTTCCTACCCTTCCTCGCCTCTCCATCTTCTCCTGCTCCTCCTGACTCCAGTCTACAGCCAACCCCAGCATCGACCCCTCCTCCTCAATCCCTCTATCACTCTCCGCTCTGCGAGTTTCATTCCCACTGTTACTGCTGCTGCTACTGCTGCTGCTGCCATGGGACTCGGGAGTATTACCAGTACCTGTAGTGGGTGGCAAGCGAGAGAGGGAAATTGGGCGGACACAGTGAGAAGACAGGAGAAATGTACAAATTTCCTGACATGGGCACAGGAATTTGGGCACAGGAGATTGGGCACAGGCGATTGGGCACAGGCGATTGGGCACAGGCGATTGGGCACATGCGATTGGGCACATGCGATTGGGCACATGCGATTGGGCACATGCGATTGGGCACATGCGATTGGGCACATGCGATTGGGCACATGCGATTGGGCACATGCGATTGGGCACAGGCGATTGGGCACATGCGATTGGGCACATGCGATTGGGCACAGGCGATTGGGCACATGCTCAGGCATGCACCAACCAACCAACTTGCCAATGTTTCCCTGGCCTTGAAAAGTTTTCAAAAGCCACTGAGATTCTGACATGCATCAATCAACTTGCCAGTGTTACCCTGCTCTGCTCTGGTCCTGCTGGGTAACGAGACTTCCACAGAGGTAGCTTCTGAGAAGCTCCCAAGTCTCTCCGTTCCCCATCTCTGCCTCCCCTGCAGCACTCTGCTCCTGTCGCCCTCACGGCTGGAGACCAGACCACCACTGAGAAGGCACGCCTTGCACCCTCCTGCGACCACTGCGAAGGCACCTGCGACCACAGCACCTGCCACCACTACAAAGGCACCTGCCACCACTGCAAAGGCACCTGCCACCACTGCAAAGGCACCTGCCACCACTGCAAAGGCACCTGCCACCACTGCAAAGGCACCTGCCACCACTGCAAAGGCACCTGCCACCACTGCGAAGGCACCTGCTGTCGCCACTGCCTCATTGCGCCCTCTCTTTCCCCCACCTGCACTTTGCCCACTCTCGCCGCTCTGGCTGGCATGGAAGAGAAGAGGATCAGTGAGGCAAGCACGCCCCATACCCACGGCCACAGCTGGTTCTTGAGAATTCTCAAGCCGGTTCTTGAGAATTTTCAAAAACCAGCTCTCGCCACTTTGGCCGGCGTGAAAGAGGATGAGTGAGGCAAGCACGCTCCATACCCACGGCCACAGCACCTGCTTCTAACGCCACCCCAAGCGCCACTATTGGCACCACTGCCTCTCTTCCCTCACCTGCACTTTGCCCACTCGTGGCCTGGTCTTTACGGGAGAAGATTAATGAGGAAGTACGGCCCATCCCACACCCACGACCACAGCACTGGGTAGTAGCACCACTCCCAGCACCGCCAGCAGCACCACACATTCGCAACACTGCCTCGTAACTACTCACCTGCACTTTGACCACTCGTGTCGTGGCGTGGCCGGCATGGGCGAGAATGGTAACAAGGCAGCACGGCGCACACCCACCCACCACAGCACCTGCTACCAGTACCACCCCCACTAGCACCACCAGCACCAATACTGGCACCACACCACTGCCTCATTTTCTCTCACCTGCACTTTCAACACTCCTTGTCTGGCTGCCTTGGAAGAAGATCAGTGAGGCAGCACGGCCCACACCCACCACCGCAGCACCTGCCAGCACTACTAGTAGCACCATTGCTGCCAGAAACACCACCCACCGCCGCACGCGCCTTCGTCTCCCCTCCACCACCACCCCTCTCCCTCCCCTGCCCCAGCCACCGCTGCTGCCGCCTAAAGTCGCACTACTCAACCCGAAATGAAGCCCAAAACTGCCGCCGCCGCCGCTGCTGCTGCTATCACGTGCTTTCCCATGGTAGGAGGAGGGGAGAGAGGATGAGGCAGAGAACCAGCGCCATCGGTGGCGGAGGTACCGCCACACACGCCACTCCCCCACCTTGTTGCCCTTGCTGCCGCTGCTGGTAAAGCTGCTGGTGGTAGCGGTGGTGCTGGCGGTGGTTGCAGTGCAAGAGGCAGCAGAGGAGGGGTAGGAGGTGGAGGAGGACGAGGAGGAGGAGGAGGAGAAAGGCGTGGTGACAACATTGGCAGCGAGGGGGGAGAAGCCTTGCAGTGACTGGCCTAGGACCAGCGAGGTGTGCGCTGGTTGCTGGGTGGCGATGGGGGGAAGAGGGAAAAGTGGCAAGGGGGAGATGGAGAGGGATGGTGACAGCAGCGAGGGGGGAGAAGCCTTCCAGTGACTGGCCGAGTACCAGCGAGGAGTGCACCGGTTGCTGGGGACGCATCGCAATCACAAAAAGGGATTGGCGACAGGGAGGAGAGAGGGAAAGGGGGAAGTATAGGAAGGGTGGATAGGTGAGTGTTGGAGCAGTGTGGGGAAGGAGAGTGCGAGAGGGGGTAGTGCTGGCAGAAGGGAAGAGAGACGCTCGGCGTGCGTTTCACAAGGGCTTTTCGTCAGACGCCAGTAAAATGCCATAACGAGCCAGAACAGTACTGCTAAAAGTCAATAAGAGCCGTTGAAAGCCACCCAAATGCCGCCAGTAAAATGCCATAACGAGCCAGAACAGTACTGCTAAAAGTCAATAAGAGCCGTTGAAAGCCACCCAAATGCCGCCAGTAAAATGCCATAACGAGCCAGAACAGTACTGCTAAAAGTCAATAAGAGCCGTTGAAAGCCACCCAAATGCCGCCAGTAAAATGCCATAACGAGCCAGAACAGTACTGCTAAAAGTCAATAAGAGCCGTTGAAAGCCACCCAAATGCCGCCAGTAAAATGCCATAACGAGCCAGAACAGTACTGCTAAAAGTCAATAAGAGCCGTTGAAAGCCACCCAAATGCCGCCAGTAAAATGCCATAACGAGCCAGAACAGTACTGCTAAAAGTCAATAAGAGCCGTTGAAAGCCACCCAAATGCCGCCAGTAAAATGCCATAACGAGCCAGAACAGTACTGCTAAAAGTCAATAAGAGCCGTTGAAAGCCACCCAAATGCCGCCAGTAAAATGCCATAACGAACCAGTACAGTACTACCCAAAAATCGTTCTGGGGCGGAAGTCGTACTGTAGTACAGTACTGCTAAGAGCCAGTCAAGAGCCGTTGAAAGCCACCGAATGCCGCCAGTAAAATGACATTATAAGCTGGTGCTGTCACTGCGAGATGGGGGAGCATGCCATGGGGAAGGGCGCATCTGCATTTTCTCACCGAGGCTCGCCTCATGGCGGATTCGGATTCGTTCGCGCACTCCGCGCTGGCAACTCAATGACGTGGGAATGGAATGGAGCAGTGCAGCAGAAGCTCTGCCAAGGAGGTGGACGGAACGGATCCAAACGACTCCGCGCAACTCTTTTTCTCGCGCTCTGCAGGCCTGTCGCGCTCGCTACTCGCGCCTGCCCCTCCGCGCTCACTTGCGCCTGGCCGCGCTCACTTGCGCATGAACACCTTTCCCCCGACGATCTTGTGCGCGGGCTTCCCCTTGATCATGCGCATCCGCGCAAACTCCGACCCGCACGCGGGGCACTTCATGTCCCCCGCCGTAAAATCCTCCGCAATGCGCTCCACGAAACACTTGACTAATGCCCCGTTGCCGCCCTTTCGGTACCGGTACAGCTGCTGCTGGCACTTAGCGCAGAATATTTTCACTGTCTTGGTCGGCCCGCTCGCGGCGGGAGGTTTCGATTCGTCCTCGTTAGAATATTCCTCGCTAGCGCGATGGGAGAATTTCGCCGCGCTTGCCGTTATGTCCGCTCCGTTTTGACGACGAGTCGCGACAAATTCAGCGCGCGAATGCGTGAAGAGGCGAGTAAGATTACTGAAACCGTTTCTGGACGGACGGAGGCGATTAAGATTACTATGTGCACTTAGTAGCAGAGTACGCGTCCTAGGGGTGACAGGGGCGTTCGAAGCGCTAGCGACGGAAGCTACAGGAAAGGAGGAATTCAGATGACGCGCGGAAAAATGTAATGCCAGCACCGGCACGACCACGGTGGAGCGGGGGATGCGCGAAGCCAGAGGCGCAGCACGAGCGATCATTGCGGGGAGGGATGCAGTGCGGTGGCGTGCGGCGATGCGGTGTACTGTTGTTCAAGCAGGCAGCACGAAGGCCAGTTTCCTGTCTAGAATGGCTGCTAATGAGGTATGGGAGGTGGAGTTAGGCTTGGTTGGGAGTTCTTCGAGCAATGAATTGGGTGGGGCAGCAGAGCAGCGATGAGCTTGAACAGCGATGTTGATTTGGTAACTTGCGAGTTTGTCGCAGGGCCTCGGGGTTTGGCTTGAGCGTAACACGGGAAAAACTCCGTGAGCGGATAATTGGACTACTGTAAACGAACACGCGAAGATAAATGTGTTGCGCGAACACGACAGATTCGCGACACGAGTACCGCTGCGACAGCATTCTCGATGGTGTCTATCATCTCGCGAACCACACCATTGTCGCAACCCTCGTTATCCAAACCACCAGCGGTGCCTGCCTTGTCCATCCATCCTCAGACCTAAAATTGCTGCCTTGCCCAGTTTTAGGGCGCGTGTCTTTTGGTGTAGAAGTTCGAAAAAAAAATGTCGAACTTTTGCTGGTAACCGGTTTCGCCAATTTCGTACAGAGCTATTGACGACGAACGTGTGTCCAAGCTCAAAGTTGCTGAAACAGAAGCACACTGAACTAGGGTCGACCTCGCATTCGACTATCCCCGAGCACCAAAATCAATGTATAGACAGGGTAACCTACGAAACTTGGCGCGACTCGGATTTTACTGTTAAGATTCGACCTTTGAAAGTCGAGCATTTCTTGTGCCATGTGCTCCACGTCAAGGTGAACACGCGACTCGACAATGAAATGACGAGATAGTCGACTACAGGTCGACCTGTGTTCAATTGCAAAAATTCGACCCAAACAAATGAACTTCGGCCTAAATTTCAAAAGACACGCGCCCTTAGGTACCAGGGGGCTCCCCGCTCCAGATCTCTCAATTGCGGAACGGCCAGCACTCGCGAGCTGATTATTGTGGGACGCTGCACGACGATCCCAAGCCACGCGAAATGCGAAATGCGCTGTAACATTTTCCTTCCTCAACATTCAGTCGCCATTCTCTCCTGCAACATCTAGTCACCAGGCTGGTGTTCCAACGTTTCACCCATCCCTCCTACGGCGCTCTCGTACCCCCCTTCTTCCGCTAGATTTTTAGTCTCCTCGTAGCAGCCGTTGTACAAATTCCGTCTCTCAAGTTCCGTGTACCAGCATACCCAATGGCTAGATCCCCCATTTCCTTCTCTTCATCCTCCACTTCCGCCTCCTCCTCTCCTTCCTTCCTCTCCTCCGGCCTCCTCGGCACGATCATCCGCGTTACATGCCTCCTCGCTTGCCTCGCCATCATCGCCTTCTTCAGCGTGAGCTACTGGGCGCTACGGGCCACTAATCTCACGCCACGTGTCGAGGAGTTCAGGGACCACTGGGACTCGTGCGTGAATCAGCCCATGGGCCACTGGGTCAAACTCGCGGTGCCGTCGTCTCGCCGCGTGCCCTGCTCGCACATAGTTAAAGCGGCGATTAAGAGAGGGGAGGCCGGGGTGGAGCGAGGCCGGGTGCTGCATCGGCTGCAGCTCAAGGAACACCCGGGAAGGGATGGCTGCGCGGTAAAATACGATGCTGATGTGGACCCATGGGATATGCATCCCGTGCCACGTGGCAAATTCTCCTACTCCTCCTGCCGTGTGGAGTGGATCATCTACTCTTCTGACTGCGGACTCAGCATGGTTCGAATGGCGGATTTCGCGCACATGGCGGCCATTCCGTTCGCCGTGGTGGGGGTGGGTGTGCCCTGGAGAGGCCAGGGCGGCCGCATGCGGACTATCCGAGACTACCTCCGCTCGCTGCCGCCCGACCGCATTGTCATTTCCACCGACGCCGATGACGCGTTCCTCATGCCAGGACCCCCATGCCGCCCGGAGAACCTCGTCGAGGCGTTTCTCTCGCTCAACGCGCCCGTGGCCTTCGGAGGAGAAATTTTCTGCTACCCGGATTGGCGGAAAAATTTGGTGTTTTACCCTCGAAAAATCAACGAGACACAGAACTGGTTTCTGAACTCCGGAGCCTACGTGGGATACGCGTGGGCCCTGGCTAAGATCATAGACGCGACATACGTGGGAGACTGCATGCAAGACCAGCGTGCATACACCCTCGGGTTTATCGGCCAGCAGTACCTCTTCAGGCACCTCCCCCGTGTGCCCTACCCTGAACCCAGTGACTTCGAATCCGCCCTCAGCAGCATGGGTAATGTCACTGCGGCTGTGGCCGCCCAGGAAAAATTCGCCGACTCACCGTTCCGCAAGCCGTGGCGCAACCCGCGCCCCGTGCGGTACAACACGACCATGTCGCCGTTCCACCGGCTGCCGCCCGCGTCAGAAGAGAAGGTGATCAGCGAGGCGATGGAGGCGGGGCAGAAGGATGCGCCGTCTGTCATGGCTGCTCCGTTCATGAAGCTGGATCATTACAACACGCTCTTCACTCACCTGGGGGGGTATCCTTGGGAGGAGTTTGAAGTGGTGGGGAAGGGTGGAGAGGCGATGGTGCGCGCGAAGAGCACAGGCGGCATGGCATGTATTTTGCATCAGCAGGGAGACAAGATGCAGAATCTGTCCATGTACTATGTGTTTGAGCAGGCCAGGTTGGATGATGTGCAGGCTGCACGGGGATATGTGTAGAGGAGATGGTGGCTGGTATTGATCGGATAGTGTCTTAGCGCGGTGAGGTGGGGTTTCGTGGTGCATGGTCTGTATTCCACATATGGATTTGGTATGTCATACAAGGTTCATCGTTCATGGTTCGGTTTGTGCATGTTTCAAAATTTAATTGGGCCAGGCAATGACAGTTCAGGAAGTATGGGGAACCTGAGTTTATTGTTGCGGTTAATACCCGGGTACAGCATGGTTATTTTCAAGCTCAAGATTCTTGAATTTGAAATCGTCAAAAACAGGGTTACCCTACTTTTTTGCTCAGAACTCTCGCTACTCTGGGACTAGCGACACTCTCTCCTAGTTGGCTGATGTCCACGATCGCAAAACAGAACCGAGCGTCGCTCAGGTTGGCCCGCTGTTTGGCTCACACATATCTTGATCGCCTAGTACCGTCATCGCCCGGATAGAAGACATATATGTCTTATCTTATACATTAGAAAAAAAGCTTGCTGTGTCTTGTAATTGGGACGGTTTAGGGTGTCTTATAATTCTTATAAATGGACAAAAAACCGTTTAGAAGATACCCCCTAGTCATAAGATTGCCCCTAATCCCTATACTGGCTTAACTTGTACACACCGACAGTTGTCTTATAATCAGGAACACCCATCTATAAGAAACACCCGTTTTAACGACACCCCATGTCTTCAATTCGACACTGTCTTATATCCGGGCGATGACGGTAGTACTCATGACCGGCCTAGGCTCTCACGTAAGTACCACGTGACCGCGATTTTTACGGCAACTCTCGTCACTCATGCTGTCTCGTCAATAGCCAGCACAAACCTAGAATCGCTGTAGATTTTTACAAACGCTGTCGCCACATTCACATGGAACATATGAGCCAGACGAGTGCGACACCATTCTACCCCACGTCTAGCTCGAGTCGTCACCCGCGCTCCCCCTCGCCAGTCGTGCTCCTCCTCGTCACTAGCGCCCGCCCTCGTCACTAGCGCCTGCCCGGGATAGAATGCCTCCCCTCGTCATGCGTTTCCATTCGTCACCCGCGTTTCCCTTCGTCACGTGCGTTTCACTTCGTCACGCGCGTTTCCCTTCGGCACGCGCGTTACCCCTCGTCACGCGCGTTTCCCCTCGTCACTCGTGTTTCCCCCTCGTCTCGCGCGTTTCCCCTCGTCTCGCGCGTATCGCATCGTCGCGTACATTTCCGCCACTCGCGCCCGCGCCTTCCCGTCAAGCGCGCTTCCCTTCGTTGCGCGCTCTCCTCCCCTCATCACGCGCATTTCCCCTCGATACGCGCTATCCTCCCTGGTTTCGCGCGCTTCCCCTCGTGAAGGGCCGAGGGGGAAAGATAGAAGGGGGAGGATGGAGGGGGAGGAACAGAGGGGGGAGGGCAGAGAGTGGGAGACGATGGGTGAGAGCGGGTTCTTCCCTCACTCCCTCTCCCCATCGACCTCAATTTTCCCGGAGTGTTTACACCCCTTTTTATTTGACCGACCTCCATTTCTCATACACCAGCTCTGTTTACCCCGCAATCCCTTATCCTTTGCCTGCGCCCTACTTCCCCCCTCCCTCTGCCCTGCTTCCCCCCTCCCTTTGCCCTGCTTCCCCCTCCCTATGCCCTGCTTCCCCCCTCCCTATGCCTTGCTTCCCCCCTCCCTTCGCCAAGCTTCCCCCCTCCCTTCGCCCTGCTTCCCCCCTCCCTCCGCCAGACTTCCCCACTCCCTCTGCCCTGCTTCCCCCCTCCCTTCGCCCTGCTTCCCCCCTCCCTCTGCCCTGCTTCCCCCCTCCCTCTGCCCTGCTTCCCCCCTCCCTCCGCCAGGCTTCCCCCCTCCCTGCGCCCTGCTTCCCCCCTCCCTCTGCCTTGCATCCCCCCTCCCTCTGCCCTGCTTCCCCCTCCCTATGCCCTGCTTCCCCCTCCCTCCGCCAAGCTTCGCCCCTCCCTTCGCCAAGCTTCCCCCGTCCCTTCGCCCTGCTTCCCCCCTCCCTCCACCCTACTTCCCCCCTCCCTCCACCCTGCTTCCCCCCTCCCTCCACCCTGCTTCCCCCCTCCCTCCGCCTGCTTCCCCCCTCCCTCCTCCTTGCTTCTCCCCTCCCACCTCCCTGCTTCCCCCCTCCTTCCTCCCCGCTTCCCCCCTCCCTCCTCCCTGCTTCCCCCCTCCCACCGCTCTGCTTCAACAACAACAGCACAGTGATCTCTACCTAGCAGAGCAAGCAAGCAGGTATATATATATAGATCACAGTACAAACAAAGTCTACAGCAAGTGAGGAAAAGTGGGCACAAGGCCTAACAAAGTGCAGAAACGCTAATGATCACCAGACGGAAGTGCCTTGGTGAATATATCAGAGGTGTTGGCCTCAGTGGCCATGTAACGCAGACGAAGCTGACCACGCTGCTGCAGCTCTCGAGCCAGGAAGTAACGCAGAGCGATGTGCTTCGTTCTGTGCTTCAGTCAGTGCTCCTCACACAAGGCAATGGCAGCCTTGTTGTCGACGTACAACACTGGAGGAGAACGAGGCCGCTCTCCCAATTCGGTCAGCAGGTAGGTCAGCCAACATAGCTCCTGTGCAGCCATGGCTGTGGCGTGGATCTCACCCTCACAACTGGAGCTGAGAACTCAAGACGAGCGAGTAGAACGCCAAGAAACTGAACCAGAGCCAAGGCTGAAGGTGTAACCCTGTGACGACCGCTGAGTAGCCTGGTCGTCAACCCAAGAAGCGTTTGAGTGCCCAGTGAGAACAACTGAGCTCCTCCCTCCAAGCACGAGCCCCATGCCTGACGTACTGCACAAGTAGCGCAGTACCCTCTTAGCAGCATCCATGTGCAGCTTTCGGTGCCGACCAGGAGCCACGTAGAGAGCTAGAAGGCCAAGAGGGTACGCGAGGTCAGGACGAGTGCAAGTCATCAGGTGCATAAGGCAGCCTACTAGCTCTGGGTAAGGACCATTCCGCTCTACGGACTCGTCCGAAGGTGGAGGTGAGAGCGAATGACCTGTAGCCAGAGGAGTCGGCTGTGCTGAGGACCAGGTGAAGCCGAAGCACTGAAGGACCTGCTGCACCATGTGTGACTAAGTCAATGTGATGGTGCGGCGTACTCTTTCCCGGGTGATCCGCAAGCCAAGATAGCTTGTCAACTCACCCAGGTCTGTGCACGTGTGTCTCTTCTGCAGCTCGGACTTCACGTGGGCGAGAGCCTCAGCGTCAGCAGTGGCAAAGACCAAGTCGTCGACGTACAAGAGGATGTACTGTAGAACGGCGGCAGCGACGTGTCGGTGCGCAGAAACAGCGACGGGTCAGCAGTCGATGGAGCAAACCCAAGAGCCGCAAGTGTAGTCCTCAGTGAGTCGTGCCACTCACGTGGTGCCTGGCGGAGACCGTAGACTAGCCGCCGGAGGCTCCACTGGTTACCAGGAGGGAACGACCCAGTGAAGCCAGGAGGGTGGCGCAGCCAGATCTCCTCGTGTAGGCTGCCCTGTAAGAAAGATGTGCTGAAGTCAAGAGAGTGAAGCTCGTAGTCACGCTGAGCGGCGACGTGCAGCAGCACCCGAAGAGTGGTCATCTTCGGGGTGGGGGACAAGGTATGAAAGAAGTCTACTCGCTCTCGCTGACTCAAGCCTCGAGCAACGTAGCGAGCCTTGAAGACAGGCGGAGAACCTGGCGGCCGCTTCACCCTGAAAATCCACATGCCACTGACGATGTTCGCCCCAGGAGGGGGAACCTTGTCGACGTAAGTGCCAGTGGACTTCCAGGATGCGATCTCTGCGTCCATGGCTGTCTGCCAATGAGAGGAATACTCACCCGCGATCGCCTCAGCGTAAGAGCGCGGGGTCGGGATGTCTGGAGCATCCGAGTCTCCCTCAGGGGTAAGCAGCATGGACACGAGGTGAGGCGCAGCGGCTGCAAGACACTCAAGGTCCTCCTGCGTGTCCTCAAGGACGTCCATGCCAAGAGCATACTCACCCCCGACGGACAGAGGAGAGACAGACTCAGACTCAGCAACAAGACTAGCGGCGTAGTCTAGACGACAGGCAGCAGCAAAGTCAACAAGCTCAGCAACTAAGGCTGACGCAGCAGCAGACTCAAACGACGGGTCAGTGACAATTGTGGCTAGCAGACGCGTGACAGTAGAGTGAGCAGCATGGGTGCGGTCAGACTTTGACTCAGGAACGGTAGGCAAAGAAGACGCAGGAGGGGCCGGCAGGGGAACACGCTGCGGAGGAGAGGAAGGACGACGAACTACGAGGTGGGTGCCGGGGACAGTCGGCTGACGCGAACGAGGAACACGACGACCGGAACTACTAGAACGGACAGACGAGACAGGATGCGACGCAGGCTCACGACGCTCAGTAAAACCCCCTGTCTGCCCTGTGTAAGCAGAAGGAGCAGGTAGCGGTGAGCTAGGCTGTAACGGAAGACCATTAGACGAAGGGAGACTAAGAGCCTGGCGAAGCACAGAGTCAGGCAGTGGCTGAGACGACGGAGACGGTGGAGCGAAGAACAAGCGCGGCTGTGCAGTGGCACCAGCACCAGCAGCTCCAGCACCCCCAGCAGCTCCAGCACCTCCAGCAACTCTAGAACCCTCAGCGCCAGCTCCTCCAGGACCAGCTCCACAAGAAGCAGCACCCCCAGACCCAGGGTCTCCAGCAGCAGCACCCCCAGACCCAGGGTCTCCAGCAGTAGCACCCTCAGGCTCAGCAGCACCTCCAGCCCCAGCAGCTCCAATACCTCCAGTACGAGCACCTCCGGGACCAGCACCACTCCCAGCTCCAGTGAGGATAGCAGAAACACCTCCAGCGGCAGAGCCCCGAGCTCCAGAAACGCGACCCTGTTGGCGAGTGTACCAGTCGTGCAGCTGCTGTGAGGAGAGAGGCACACGCGGACGAACGCGGCTACTCCAGGGAGACCGCGCAACAGCAGGCTCAGAACTCTCAGCGCCAGCACCTGCAGCAGGTCTAGAATCCCCAGCACCAGCACCCGCAGCAGCTCCAAAAGCTCCAGCGCCAGCACCCTCAACAGCTCCAGACTCCACACCCCCAAGCTCCGCACCTCCAGGCTCAGCACCCCCAGGCTGCGCACCCCCAGGCTCAGCACCCCTAGGCTCCGCACTCCCAGAAACAGCACCCCGAGCAGGACCACCCTCAGCAGGACCTGAGTCACCAGTGACCTCAACCGGCACAGTCAAGGGAGGAGGGTCTACCTGAGACACACCTGAAGGAGCAGGACCGGGAGTGGGGAGGGGGTCTACCTGGGGAGCACCTGGAGCGAGGAAGAGCGGCGGGGAGGGGAGAGGGGCAGTGCGGTAGGGGAAGAGACGGTAAAATGGAACCGACTCATCGAACGTGACGTCCTGAGAGGGAAAGACGCGGCGCGAGGTGGGGTGGTAAAACTGCCAACCAGGCACGTCAGGGACAAAGCCAAGGAAGACACAGGGAACAGCGCGGGCGGAGAGCTTGTTCGCGGTGGTATCACGGACAAAGGCATGAGCACCCCAGACCCGGAAACGCGACGCATCGCCAACCTTCCCCGTCCACAACAGTGTGGGCGAGGTCTCCGGCAAGGAGACACGGGGCCAGAGGTTGAGCTGATGCGCGGCGTACCGGACCACAAACGGCCACAGAAAATGGGGGGCAGCTGCATGGATCATGGAGGTACGAGCGACCTCCATGACTAAGCCAATGCGGCGCTCAGCAACCCCATTCTATTGCGGAGAGGCCGGAAGCGTGAACGACTGGGTGATGCCGTGCTCCTCAAAGAAGGCTGCCAAGAGGTCGGAGGAAAACTCACCACCTCTATCAGAGTGCACACGCAGGACGGGAAACTCCATCCCGAACCGCTCGCGGAGCTGGAGACGAGCAGCGCGGATCCAGGGGATCAAAATATCAGGGACCTCACCCTTGGTGCGCAAGGGGAAGACCGTGGTGTAACGCGTGTAGTCGTCGACGACCAGCAGGAAGTACCGCTCGTGGCCCTGTTGACAGACGCGGGCTGGGCCCCACACGTCCAGGTGGAGAGTCTGCAGGGGAGCCTCTGTGGGAGGGAACGAGGAGGAGTGAGGAGTGGCGCGCTGCCGCTCCTCGACATAGGGAAGACAGGGAGGAGCAGGCGAGGGTGGGAGGGGAGGGAGAACCCTGGGAAGACCAGAGACAAGGAGACGGCGGTGCATGCTGCGAAGGCGCTACACCGAGGGGTGACCAAGGCGGTGGTGCCAAAGGAGGGTCTGGTGCGACAAGGCGCGACACGAGCAGGGGGCCGACAACTGACCTGATGCAGACGCAGCTACCTGAGGGGACTCAGTGGTCAGTGTGTACAGGCCCGACCCCGGCTGCCGAGTGAAGGTAGTCAGGTGACGACCCGTCTGAGCACACGTGCAGTGTGCCACACGCTCGTAGGCAGGGGTGAACTGGTGAACACCCGCGTCCTGGAGTGCAGAACCCGCCACCAAGTTCGTAGAGAACGAGGGGAGGTGAAGACCCGACAGTGTGCCGGACGGGACAGCATGACAAGGGAGGACAGTGGAAGAGGTCGCACGGACGGGACCCCCATAGGGGTCTGCCAGAGAGACTGGAACCGGCCGACTGAGCGGTGTGAGGGAGGTGCTGTCGCAAAAGAAGCAGCGAGAAGCATCAGAGTCAAGTGTGAAGGTGTACATGGCCTGAGTAGGCGCTGTACCAGAGAGAGCAGACTCATCCGTACCTAGAGCAGGAGACACACTAGCCCCTAGAGCAGCAGCCTCACCAGCACCTAGAGCAGCAGGCTCTATACCTGGGTCAGGCGGTTCGCACAGGTAACAGGCACGGTCAGTACTAGTAGGCAATGCATACATGGCAGTGGGATAGCATCATAGTCAAGAGCAAAGATATCTACCCTCTGCCCAAGCAGCTCCACCCAGTCGGGGAGCTCAGCCTCGTCGCCAAACTCGGTACGCCAGACATCGCTCAGACGGGCGAAGCAGCGGGACTGTGTGTGACTGAGCGTCCCGCAAGCCTGACCAGTTTGAGCACCAGTGCGAATGACGTACGGGTAGCGAACGGTACTCAGAGACCCTCTACTCTGAGCGTACCACTCGTGAAGCTGCCGAGACGTAAGTGTCTCGCGTGGACACCACTGCAGCTGCAGCTGGCCACTACCAGACTCTCCCAACTGACCAGCTCCAGGGCAACAGCTACGACGGCTACAGCGACAACCCCAGCTAGCGTACCACTCACT